AGTTTTAGAAAGTAAGGTTGTAATTCTATCTCTTTGAGCCCTCCAATTTTGACCATTCATAATCTTCTGCATTTATTTTTCTAAGAGTTGTATCATCTTTCAGCCAACCCTTTCCTGAACCTTTCTTTTGCTTACCTAATTGAAGCCCAAATGCAAGAATGAGAATGATAAGTATGTAAGCAAGTTCTCTTTGTTTTTTGAAATAAAATTCCTTGTATGCTGTTAACTCATATTGAAACTTTATTTAAATTATTTGCACATATTTCAAAAGAATCCATTGGCACTAGAAAGGGGAACTGACTTCTATTCTTTACAACATATGCTTATTTACATTTTACCAGCATGAACTGATATGTACATATATGCATAAATACACGCACACATACACACACACACATATACACACATACATATCACATATGTACTGGAAATTATAGCATTTTCAATGAATTTGGTTGAGACATTCCTTTATTCCCAAAAGAGGGAGTGATTTGTCATTTCTCTCCTTAAACCAGCATTCTGAGGTCACATTAGACTTACTGGTTTTCCAGTCACTGGATTTAAATTACCACACAAAGAAGAATTTTACTATACTACCTGAGGTTATAGAAACTGTTTTCTGAATGGCAACAGGTTTGGAATGGGGACTCTTGATTGAGAATAAGAGAAAATGGGAAAACTTCATTTCATGCACTGTTCAGGAAAAGAAAATGTACATTTATATGAATGTTTTTATTAGATTAAAAATAAAAAAATCATTCTAAACTTAATTTGAGTTTATTTTTTAAAATATTGGTTGAAATTAAATTGTCAAATTTCATGTTATACTCTTCTGATATAAGATATTGGCCATTTAAAAATAATTTAATTGTAGAAGTTTGGATATTATTTAAAGCATTGGGGTTCCTTTATCTAGCTCCTCACAGTAAATTCAGGTTCAATTTTTGAAATTTTGGCATCATAGAGACTATTTAGACAATGTAAACGAGCATCACAAGATCCTTTTTTTCCCAATTCAAATAAACCACATACCTCAGTTGTTAAGTTGTAAAGAAATGCCTTTTTCAACCTAATATAAGAAAAGCCTTTGAAGACTGATTTACAACAGGATTCCATTTTTTTTCCTACCTACTACATGGCATTAGTCTTAGAATGCTGAATTCTTCCAGACAGCAGCTGAGAATATAGCAATTTATTCATAATTTTTTACAATTTAGAAGATCATGCAATTCTAACACTGAATGGTAAAGATAACTATCCAATTTTACAGTGTGTAGAATCAGATCAGGGAGATAAAAAAACACAAAGGGTTAGAAATAATAACCCAAAGATCAAATGGAATAGCAGGACTGGAGCAAGATTGTCCTGACCAGTTGAAAATGAGTTACCAGCAAATATTTCAGTTCAGTGCCGGTTAAGACATTTTTAAAATGGATCTTGGCACTCATGAGATCAAGTTGGGTGGGACAAGTTAAGATTTCATAATTATTTGAAGAGATGAAGGATGGGGAAATAAGATTGTACTATTTCACAAACTTTTAGTAACAAACACGAGTTGTGATGCAAAAAGATATATATGCATAGGATTAGGATTCTATCACTACCATCTGCTCCCAAAGCTTGTAAATAAACCAATTGACTATATTTCTATAAGATTAAAAAAAAACACAAAACGGGAAGCAGCATTTCTCCAGGGCAGACTTCCCCAGTATGATTCCCTCTGTATGTATTGGATATTTTTACCAGTCCATTAGAATATTTAACTGTAATTTGAGGAAACAATACAAGTTTCATGCTAATGCTGTGTGATGGCTTCAAATCAGAGGTGGGTTCCTACCAGTTCGCACCTATTCAGTAGAACTGGTTCGTCAAATCTACCGAACCGGTTAGAAGAGGTTCCACCAGTGGACCCGGAAAGCAGGCCACACCTACAGAGGAGGTTCTAAAAATTTTGAAACCCATCACTGGAGGAGAGAGATACAGAGAGAGA